GGGGGAGGGGGGGAGGAGGGGGAGGAGGAGGAGGAGGAGGAGGAGGAGGAGGAGGAGATGGCGGCGGCTGCAGCAGAAGCATATAAAGAAGCAGATGAAGAAGCAGCAGAAACAGGAGAAGCAGCTTTAAAAATAAAATGGCAGAAGTCTGGAAATATTTCTGCAATTACAGAAATATAATTGGGGACTTTCCTAGTTGAAGCAACTCAATGCGAAACAATAAAACTGTGTGATATGTAGTACTAAAGTTTATAACACAATAAGCCCAAAACAAAAACATATAAACAAATAAAAATAGACCTGAAGAAAATAAAGCTGTTCTTTTTTTCCTCCCTTTTCTTAAATAGCCCGATTTGTAATATTTCTGTCATAAATATATCAGTGAAACAGAACTAAAGCTTTGGTTAAGTATAATAGAAAATAAAGCTAGAGTTAAACAGTGAACTTCAGACCTCTGCCTCACCACAGAGCTGCTCAGGTGCTCAGCACACAGGTGCTGCTATGCTAGTGTGAGCTCCCTTTGCTCTTCTCCTTGACTAAACCATGCCTGTACATTGGCATTGTTCACAGAATACCATAAATTGTGCTTCACTCTACAAGGGCTTCCAAGAAGTCTGGTGGTTCCTCAAAAATAGAATTCCAAATAGAATTACTGTGGGACCCCCAAGTTCCACTCTTAGGTATACACCCCAAAAGAACTGAAAACAGGGCCTCCAACAGAAAGTTGCACGCCAGTGTTCATAGCAGCATTACTCACATTATTCAAACAAAAGGTAGAAATGACCCAACTGCACAACAGATTAATGAATAAACAAAATATGATATATCCATACAAAACAGTATTATTCAGTTATATAAAGAAATGAAGTTCACAGGCAGTAACTTGGATGAACCTTGCAAACATTATGCTAAGTAAAATAAGACAGACACAAAAGGATAAACATGTATGATTCCACTTATATGAATTTCTAGAGAAGGAAAATTCATAGAGACAGAAAATAGATTAGAGGTTACTGGAGAATGAGGGTAGCTATTACTTAATGGATATAGAGCTTTTGTTTGGGGTGACAAATACATTTGGAAATAGTGGTACAACATTGTGAATATAATTAATGCCACTGAATTATACACTTAAAATGATTAAAGTAGGAGTTGTAATACCAGTCTCTGATAAAATGGACTTTAAACCAATGAAGATCAAAAGAGACAAAGAAGGGCATTACATAATGGTAAAAGGATCAATGAAGCAAGAAGAGCTAACGATCCTAAATATATATGCACCCAATACAGGAACACCCAGATACATAAAGCAAGTTCTTAACTACCTACAAAGAGACATAGACTCCCACACATTAATAGTGGGAGACTTTAACACTCCACTGTCAATATCAGACAGATCAACGAGACAGAAAATTAACAAGGATATCCAGGACGTGAACTCAGATATCGAACAGCAAACCTAATAGACATCTACAGAACTCTCCACCCTAAATCCACAGAAGACATATTCTTCTCAGCACATCACACCTACTCTAAAATTGACCACATAATTGGAAGTAAATCACTCCTCGTCAAATGCAAAAGAATGGAAATCATAACAGTCTCTCAGACCACAGTGCAATCAAATTAGAACTCAGAAATCAGAAACTAACTCAGAACTGCACAACTTCATGGAAACTGAACAACTGGCTCCTGAATGTTACCTGGATAAACAATGAAAGGAAGGCAGAAACAAAGATGTTCTTCAAAACCAACGAAAATGAAGACACAACATGCCAGAATATCTGGGACACATTTAAAGCAGTGTCTAGAGGGAAATTTATAGCAATAAATGCCCACATGAGAAGCAAGGAAGGATCTAACATCGACACCCTATCAACAAAATGGAAAGAGCTAGAGGAGCAAGATCAACAAAACTCAAAAGCCAGCAGAAGAGATGAAATAACTAAGATCAGAGCAGAACTGAAAGAGACAGAGACACAAAAAACCCTTCAAAAAATCAATAAATCCAGGAGCTGGTTTTTCAAAAAGATCTGCTAGCCAGATTAATAAAAAAGAAAAGGGAGAAGAATCAAATAGATGCAATAAAAAATGATAAAGGGGATATCACCACCAATTCCACAGAAATACAAACTACCGTCAGAGATTACTACAAACAACTATATGCACATAAACTGGTAAACCTGGAAGAAATGGATAAATTTCTGGACACTTGCAACCTCCCAAGCCTAAACCAGGAAGAAGTTGAAACCCTGAATAGACTAATAACAAGGGCTGAAGTTGAGGCATCAATTAATAGCCTACCAACCAAAAAAAAGCCCAGGTCCAGATGGGTTCACAGCCAAATTCTACCAGAAATATAAAGAGGAGGTGGTACTACTCCTCCTGAAACTATTCCAAACAATCCAAAAGAGGGAATCTTTCTCAAATCATTTTAGGAGAACAACATCATACTGATACCAAAACCCTGCAGAGACTCAACAAAAAAAGAAACTTCAGGCCAATATGCATGATGAACATAGACGCAAAAATCTTCAATAAAATACTGGCAAACCGACTGCAACAGTACATCAAAAAGCTTATCCACCATGATCAAGTAGGCTTCATTCCGCGGATGCAAGGATGGTTCAACATACGCAAGTCTATAAACACAAACCACCACATAAACAGAACCAAAGACAAAAACCACATGATTATCTCAACAGAGGCAGAGAAGGCCTTTGACAAAATTCAACAGCACTTTATGCTAAAAACTGCCAATAAACTAGGTATTGACGGAACATATCTCAAAATAATAAAAGCTATTTATGACAAACCCATAGCCAATATCATACTGAATGAGGAAAAACTTGAAGCATTCCCTTTGAAATCTGGCACTAGATAAGGATGCCCTCTCTCACCAATCCTATTCAATACAGTACTGGAAGTTCTAGCCAGAACAATCAGGCAAGAAAAAGAAATCAAGGGTATTCAATTAGTAAAGGAGGAAGTCAAATTGTCTCTATTTGCCGACGACATGATTGTATATTTGGAAGACCCCATCAGCTCAGCCCAAAATCTCCTGAAACTGATAAGCAACTTCAGCAAAGTCTCAGGATACAAGATCAATGTGCAGAAATCACAAGCATTCCTATACACCAATAAGACTTAAAGGACCTCTGCAAGGAGAACTACAAGCCACTGCTCAACGAAATAAGAGAGGACACAAACAGATGGAGAAACATTCCATGTTCATGGTTAGGAAGAATCAATATTGTGAAAACGGCCATACTGCTCAAAGTAATTTATAGATTCAACGCTATCCCCATCAAGCTACCTATGACCCTCTTCACAGAACTGGGAAAAACCACCTTAAACTTCATATGGAACCAAAATTGAGCCCACATAGCTAAGACAATTCAAAGCAAAAAGAACAAAGCTGGTGGTATCATGCTACCTGACTTCAAACTATGCTACAAGGCTACATATCTATATTGCCTCTAAAACATACCAAACTGCAAAGTACAACCAACTGCTCATATTTTTTAAAAGAAACAAAAAAACCCCAAGAAACTAAGGTCTCTAGAAGAAAATTATTTAAAAACAGACAAAAAAAAATCAGAAGACAATACCTTCAACAGTTGGCTGCATTTCTTCTGTTTTCGGAATAAAAATTCTGATTACACTTGTGTTGATATAAATCAAAGGTAAATTGCGGGACGTCAGTGTGTGGGTCCTCATGGGCTGACCAGGAGATTTTCTTTTCTCTTTTTGGGTCTTTGGTAGTTTTGCTTGAAATATACTTGCAATGGCATTAAGCAAAGGAAAATAAAGAACAATATCAAAAGCTTGCGCTGAAAGAAGAATTTCATGAAGAAAATGAGGGGAACCATCCATTAAGCCTTCAGATAACTTATGAAAACTTCTTCGCTCATTTCTTGATGTTAACTTGTGGCGGACATTTTTTGTTACAGCTTTTGTGTATGTCAGAGAGAGGAATCCATGCTGCTGATGAGTGCCATCTAGAAGTTTTGTAGTTGTCTGTTCCAGAAAAAGGAAATCACAATACACAGTTCATTAAAAACATTTTTTTTAAAAAATTGGAAAGAAGAAAATGACCTCAGTGAGTATTTTTACCTCTTGGTCTCACCCTACACCTCGTAATAGACACATGACTAATCAATTTTGCAGACGAGGGCAAAAAGCTTCTAAGATGGTCGGAATGACTGAACTAAAGATGGGAATCCTGAGTTCCAGTTCTAGATCTTGAAGGAGGTAATTAATCTTTTGTGACTATTTCTGTGACCTCTGCCTTTTCTGTAACATTAATAATTTGGGGCCAGGATGTGGCAGCTCACACCTGTAATCTCATCACTCTAGGATGCTGAGGCGGGCAGATAACCTGAGGCCAGAAGCTCGAGACTAGACTGGCCAACATGGTGAAATCCTATCTGTACTAAAAATACAAACGATTAGCCAGGCATGGTGGCGTGGTAGTACATGCCTGTAATCCCAGTTGCTCTGGAGGCTGAGGCATAAGAATCACTTGAACCTGGGTAGCAGAGGCTACAGTGAGCCGAGACTGCACCACTGCACTCCAGCCTGGGCGACAGAGTGAGACATTGCCTCAAACAGAAAATCATAAGGTGGAAAAGACTACCTTGATTTTGTCTTTTCATTTCCTGATAGTTTTTCATTATGAATACCAAGAGGCTGTCATAGAATGGGTCACAGGTCACAGGAAGGTTGTTTATTCAGGTGAAATTGAAATAACCACATTATATATTTTTATTTGAGATCAAATCTGAATAGGCCAGATGATTACCTTCACTAGACAGGATATGACATTTATAAGAATGGAGTTTTTCCTTCAATAATTTGGCTGATTTATATAAAGACAGAGCCCATAAAACAAGCCTCACTGATACCATGCTTTGATAATTGAACTAAATAGTTACTGAATATTTAAACAGTAATGTAACATAACAATATAACATTTGTCCTTCAGAACTCAACTATCAATAGCTAACATATTGTTTATAAAATCTAATTATCACTATCCTGTAACTTATAATCTCTGGGTGTACTACTATATTATTACACATATAACATTTAACTGAGAATAAGAAAACTATAACTTCAATATTTTTGCTAAAACTATCTCAATTAGCTGTCCTATACAAACTGCACACCATAAACAAATTATAGCAAAACAGCATATTTTTAATGGTAAAAAATTAAAATGAATACTCTCATATTCTTCTACATACAAAAAGAATATCTCTTGAAAAAAAATCTTCTTCAGCCAATTAATATACATAAAATACTGTTTTGCAAATCACTTAGAACAGAATTAGAGGAGAAATGTTATATTCCACATTCCCTGCCCCTCTTTCTAACACCTGAAAAAATTTTTTAATTAGTAAGGTCCAAAGAGGGGATTTTTAAGAGGAGAAGTGAACTGGAACAAAGTACAAAGAAGAAAATATATTCATGTAAACAGAAAAAAAAAAAACAAAACAAAACAAAAAAACCCCAGAGAAATAGGAAAGCAGTAATGAATCTGATCCTGTATTATTCCATAACTCCTAACTTCTTTTGCTTCCATTTCCTCCCTCTCATAATGATGTGGCGAGAAGAAAAAACTATGCAATTCAGCTATCACTGCTAATTTTGCTTTTAATTTAGACTATAATGAAGGAAGATAAGAAAATAAATTATCTTTGTATATATTTTAAGTTAATTGACCATTAAAAATACTCTGGAAAGTAAGAATTAAATGGTTGTGCAATATCTTTCCCCATGATGGCCTGCTTTCAAAGCAATTTTCACTGTTCCCAACATTTATGCTGCTTTTCTTTTTTTTTTTTTTTTTTTTTTTTTTGGAGACAGAGTTTTGCTCTTATTGCCCCAGCTGAAGTGCAATGGCGCAATCTCGGCTCACTGCAACCTCTGCCTCTCGGGTTCAAGCAATTCTCCTGCCTCAGACTCCTGAGTAGCTGGAACTACAGGTGCGTGCCACCACACCCAGCTAATTTTTGTATTTTTAGTAGAGACAAGGTTTCACCCTGTTGGCCAGGCTGGTCTTAAACTCCTGACCTCAGGCCCGCCTCAGGCCTCCCAAAGTGCTGCGATTACAGGCCTGAGACACTGTGCCTGGTTTTTCACTGCTTTTCTTCCGATTCCCCTTCTTTTTTATTTCTGCATTCAAAACAAAAAGTTGTATAGTAAAGTAGCAAAACTTCTACCAGTCTTATTACCATATTGCTGGACAATGAGCAATAATGGATGGAGAAGGACTGTTAAGGTATACCCCTAGTGGAAGAAGCCACAGTGATGCTGTCTATTCTAAGTGTCTAAACTGGGGAAGGGTTAGTATTGACCACTAATCTAAAAAATCTAATTCATAATAAATCTTTATTAATAGTAACATTTGAATCCTGGAAGCAGTATAAAAGGTATTTTAATGTATAAATCTTTTAATTTGGAAAAATATTTTAAACATATGGAATGTAAGCAAACTTGCAAAGTAAGCTACATGAAGAAGGGGTGTTTTTTTTAAACTGCTGCATCCCTAAACTCCCTTAACATAAAGGAAAAGAAAAAAAACATAAAGGAAAAAAATGAATACTAGTTGAGGTAATATAAATATCGCTTTTCACATAGTAATAATACTTTATATTATTTAAAATAAAATGTTAAAAAACTAGTAAGGAAACTTTTTAAATGACATTTAATTTAAAAGTTTAGAAAAAATGTCTGAAGAACATTAATAATAATATAGTTTCTTTATGAATATTTGTTGAAATTATTAAGAATGTGTTTCATAGTCACTAATAAACATTCAAAGAGAGGAAAAAAATCTAAACACTTCTTCTAACACAAAAGCCACATTTTTTTTTCCAGTACTGAAGATTAGAGACTACTGCTAGAAAAAGCTTAAAATAAAATCAGAAAATATCACTTGCTATGCAAATACACTATTAAAAATTAAATTCAAGAACAAAGCTAAAGAATATCAGTTAAAAGAATTAGCTTAAGAACATATCCAGATATGTTGTATCATTAGAAAAAGCAAGGTTCTAAACTTCTAAAAGTCACTGGTATAGTCTTATGTTGATCTATCTAATCAGTGACAGAAATGCAATATTGTTCAGATTCAAGAGGGCACCAAACAAGTTACTTTAAAATAGTTCTTAAGAAGACAATGGTATAATAATAGAAAAAAAATTTTAAAAAGCAATCTTAGTAAGAATCGTAAAAGGAATGACAAAAGCAGTATTGGTCAACTCTTGATCATTCAATACATGCACCATTTTAAGAAAAATGTTGCATGTTCTACTTTGATTTCCTTATATTGATGGTAAAATTAGTCTGTACTCATGCAAATGACCCAGAAACAAGTTATAGTGGAGAAGCAGTTCTATGATTTTAAATTACATTATAATTCATTTATAAAGTTTGTTATATGGAGGAAAACGTAAATCAAGAGTTGACTCTATGAATCGTTCAATTCCTTCTCTGGGTTCCTTTTAATGGGAGTTGTGTAGCATAATTTAAAAGTAATTTCTTACAGAAGGAAAGAAGCCAGAGCAATTACTGAAAGGGTCCTGCTTGCTGATGGGTCGAACCAACAAGGTGCGTCTGTTCAGCTTGTCAGTACAGGAAAGGAAGACACCTCCACATTGCCCCAAAGACCAACACTCTTCCCCAAGGCTTGAGGTGATGGACAGGAGCAAAGAAGGTGAAAAGACAAAAAGCAATAAAAGCCATAAGCAAAAAAAATCTGGATAGTTTTAAATTCTGCTCAAGTTTGCATAAATTTAGGTTTGAGCAACTGCTAGGTATGGCCTCTGCCTCGACCATCTTCTGCAAAAGCAATGTTAATGAAAGTAAACAAAAGGAATTGCTTTTAGTGTAAAATTATTACTTCTAACTTATGGTAAAGAACGATCCAGCATGAACTCACATAAGAACTGGGAAACAATTCCAAAAAGTCAACACAATAGTACATCAAAGATAAAGTATGTTAACAAAAGTAAGCCTACCTTTGCCTTTTTGATAAATTCACTTAATTGTTACAACAGGATGATGGTTACAAAACATGAGCAGTTTCAAAAAATAAACAGCTTTAAATTTGTATGTTTGAAGAAACAGGTTAATAAGAGTTTATTCTGAACTCAAATTCTTGTAACCATTAGTCCTATTTTATGAAATAACAAAGATAAACAGTTTAAAGTAGATTTTCAAAAATCATAATAACTAAATGGGTCTCACCACAGGTTTTTCTTTGCATTGTAGAAATACTCCTTCAAAATGTCCTGACTGCCAACCTTCCCCTGGCCTGGAAAACATAAGTTCACCTTATCTGTTCTCTTCAATTTTTCTGAGTTAAAAAATTGAACATACATAACTATTTCAAATAGGTCTAAAGTTCACAACACTGCACTGAACTAAAACATAAATCTGACAATGCAATCAATAGAACAATTTACATTAGCATCACACTCTGATAGTTCTGCACAGGAACACTTGTCTTCATGGTAAATTAGATATTTATTTGGCTGATTATCCACTTCCGTCTTCTCCACAAGGGTAACATCTCTATTTTTCTTTTTAAATGATGGGGACTTGCTCTGTTGCCCAGGCTGGAGTGCAATGGCACAATCACAGCTCATTGTAACCTTGAACTCTTGGGCTCAAGCAATCCACCCACCTCAGCATCCCCAGAAGCTGGGACTACAGATATACACCACCATGCCCAGCTAATTTTTTGTTTATATGTGGTGATGGGGTCTCGCCATCTTGTCCCAGCTGGTCTCAAACGCCTGGGCTCAAGTGATCCCCCTGCCCTGGTCTCCCAAAGTGCTGGGATTACAGGTGTTAGCCATCATGCCAGGCTATTTTTCTTAAACACTACACCCCAGTGCTCATTTAGCATAGCAGTTGGTGCATATCACACACTCAACAAACATGTTTTTAATAAATTCATAAATTATCTGAATATTTAAAATTTACATAAATTTAGCAGTAAAGACAGGGATAAAGGACAACATAATACATAATATTCACAACCTTAAAAATTATTTCAGCCAAAATATTGTATTGATATATCACTTGCAAAGATCATTTTGATACAGATACATACAATATCAAAGGAACTAAAGAGTTAAACATTCTATTATCAAAAGCCAATTAATAATTCACTGTTTAATATGATTGATAAGGTACTATTAGAACAAGTTCTAGCATATATTCAGCCAAATATTTTTAGCCCATAATTGTGACAGATTTGATAATTATTGATATAAACAATATGATATATGCAATAATGGATAAAAATTCAAACACTTCTAATGTAGAATTAGGAACCTGGTAAATTAAAAAATGACTTTTTAGAGCGTGCAATGCATAAATATATGTATAGAAACATACAGGTGCTTCTGGTAGCACACAATAAAGAATTGTTAAACAAATGAATTCAGTAAAAAATTGATTTTAAGCCTGTTTCTAAGCCAAAAACTATGAAATTGAAAATATGATGCTATTTTAAAAATATTTTTAAAAAGCATTTGTGAGTTTTATGGCATGTGAAGTTTAGTTCAATTACAAAAAGAAACATCGCTGTACTAATATAAAGTAAAAAAAAAAGCATTTTTATTTCTGTTTCAAAAAAATTAATGATAAAACTGCCACAGAGCTTTGTGAAAATATCTGAAAATTAGCTTTTTAACTAATGTTATTATTACAAGCCAAGCATATTTGCATGTAATCATACTTTTGATAAAAATTTCTTATGGCAGAAATGATGGTTCTAGGAACATCCACCACATATATAATAATCTGTGAGATGAGAGTCATCAAAGTGCTTAGGAAATAAGCTATTGCTCCATCTCAATGCATGATTATATTGGTATAGAGAATGGATGCGAAGTATACAGCAAAAATCAGAGCCATCAACTGTGTTGCAGGCATCTTAGCAAATATAAACTATAGAAAATAAACTTTGTAAGATTAGTAAAAGTATCTTATTTCATTTAATATGGCAATATGTATATTTATGAACAGATTTGTCATCTTACAAAATTTTATTATACTTCCTACATGAACAAATACTAAATAAAATTAACCAATGTATCTGCTAAGAATCCTTTTTGAGAAAAATACAGGCATACCTCAGTTTTATGGGCTTTGCTTTATTGCATAATGCAGATATTATGTTTTTACCCAAATTGAAGGTCTTTGGCAGCCTTCACTGAGTAAGTCCATCAGCACCTTTTTTTCCAACAATATATGCTGACTTCCAGTCTCTGTGTCACACACTGGTAATTCTTGTAATATTTCAAACTTTTTCATTATTATTATATCTGTTATGGTGATTTGTGATCAATGATTTTTGATGTTACCATCATAATTATCTCAGGACATCATGAGCAGTGCCCAAATAAGATGCAAACTTAATTGATCAATGTTGTGTGTTTTCTGATTGCTCCACTGACTCATCATTTTCCATCTTTCTCCCTCACCTCAGTTCTTCCTATTCCCTGAAACACAACAATATTGAAATGAAGACAATTAATAACCCTAACAATGGCCCCTAAGTGTTTCCGTGAACAAAGAAATGCAAATCTCTCACTTGTATAAAAAGCTAAAAATGATTAAGCTTATTGAGGAAGGCAAGTCAAAAGCTGGAAAGAAAGCCTCTTGTGCCAACTTGTGAATGCAAAGGAAAGTTCTTGAAGAAAATTAAAAGTGCTCCTCCAGGGAACTTGCAAATGATAAGAAAGTGAAACAGCCTTATTGCTGATATGCAGAAATTTGAGTGGTCTGGGTAGAGGGTCAAACCAGCCACACCATTCTCGTAAATCCAAAGCAAGGCCCTAACTGTCTTCAATTCGGTAAGTAGAGAGACGTGAGAAAGCTGCAGAAGTTAAGTTTGAAGCTAGCAGAAGTTACTTCATGAGACTTAAGGAAAGAAGCCATCTCTATAACATTAATGTGCGACATGAAGCGGCAAGTACTGTTGGATAAGTGGCAGCAAGTTATACAAAAGATCTAGCTCAGTTCACTGATGAAAGTGGCTACACCAAATAACAGATTTTCAATGTAGACAAATCAGCCTTCCCCTGGAAGAAGATACCATCTAAGACTTTGATAACTAGAGAGGAGAAGTCAATGCCTGGCTTTAAAGCTTCACAGGACAGGCTAACTCTCTTGTTAGAGGTGAATGCAGCTGGTGAAGTTGAAGATAATGCTCATTTACCATTCTGAAAATCCTAGAGCCCCTAACAATTATGCTAAATCTACTCTCCCCCTGGGCTCTATACATGGGAACAACTAAGCTGAGATGATAGCACATCTGTTAACAGCATGGTCTTCTGAATATTTTAAGCCCTTTGTTGAGAACCACTGCTTGTTCAGGAAAAAAAAAAAAATCCTTTGAAAATACTACTGCTCATTGACAACACACCTGGTCACCTAAGAGTTCTAATGGAGATATATACAAGGAAATGAATGTTGTCTTCATGCCTGCTAACATCTATTCTTCAGCTCATGGATCAAGCAGTAATTCTGACCTTTGAGTCTTATTATTTAAGAAATACATTCTGTAATGCTATAGCTGCCATAGATACAGTGTGTTAGTCCATTTTGCATTGCTATAAAGGAATACCTGAGACTGGGTAATTTATAAAGGAAAGAGGTTTATTGGTTCATGGTTCTGCAGGCTGTACAAGCATGGCACTATCATCTGCTTGGCTTCTAGTGAGTCCTTAGGAAACTTTTACTCATGGAAGAAGGCAAAGGGGAACAAGCGTGTCACAGGGTAAGAGAATGAGCAAGAGAGAGTGGGGAGGTGCCATTTTCTTTTTAAACAACCAGCTCTTGCATGAACTAAGAAATCTAGAGCTTCACTTGTTACCATGGGGAGGCACCAAGCCATTCATGAGAGATCCTCCCCTATAACCCAAATATCTCCCACTAGGACAAACCTCCAACACTAGGGATCACATTTCCACATGAGATCTGGAAGGGACATATATCCAAACTCCATCAGATAGCAATTCTTCTGAAGGTTCTAGGCAAAGTAAATTGAAACACCTTCTGTAAAAGATTTACCACTGTAGACACTATTAAGAACATTCATGATTCATTGGAGGAAGTAAAAATATCAACATTAACAGGTGTTTGTAAGAAGTTGATTGCAACCCTTATGGGTGACTTTGAGGGTTTCAAGACCTCACTGGAGGAAGTAATGGTAGATGTGGTGAAAACAACGTGAGAACTAGAATTAGGATTGGAGCCTAAAGACGGGGCTGAATTGCTGTAATCTCATGACAAAACTTGAATGGATGAGGTGTTGAATGAGCAAAAACAGTAGTTTCTGGAGTTGGAAACTACTCCTGGAGAAGATGCTAGGAACACTGTTGAAATGACAACAAAGGATTTAGAATATTCCATAATCTCATTTTATAGAACAGAGCAGAGTTTGAGAGGATTGACTCCAATTTTGAAAGAAGCTCTGTTGTGGGTAAAATGACGTTAAAGAGCAGCACATGATACAGAGAACTCTTTCATAAAGAAAGGTTCAATCCATGTGGCGAACTACATTATTGACTTATTTTAAGAAATTGCCACAGCTACCCCTACCTTCAGCAATCACTACCCAGATCAGTCAGCAGCCATCAACATCAAAACAAGACCCTCCATCAGCAACAAGATTATGACTCACTGAGTGCTAAGATGATCATTACCACATTTTAGCAATCAAGTATTTTTAAGTTAAGGTCTGTATATTTTAAAATACATAATGCTATTGTACACTTCACAGACTACAGTACACTATAAAAACAACTCTATATATACTGGGAAACCAAAAAATTTGTGTCATTTGCTTTATTGAAGTATTTGCTTTATTGGAGTATTCATTATTTTTACAGTCATTATTTATTGGAGTAGTCTGGAACCAAACTCTCAATATGTCTGAGGTATGCCTGTATGGTATTTTTAAAAATAATTAGCCATATTAAAACAGAAAAAAAGTCTTATGGTAACTTTGTTCAAAGAAAAATACAGATTTTTCTTATATTCATTATTCATTATTTACCTGCTTCTATAGTGATCAATATTGAAACTCTCTATTTTACATTTCACTTTGGTATATACATCCTGGACATCTATGGAAGCACTGAGATCTTCTAGTTCACTGACCATACAAACCTCTGCAATAAGAAGCAAACAGTAATATCAATACAGTCTTCACAATTAATATTAAAACTTTTTATTTTACATTTTACATTGACATATGCATGCTGGATATGTACAGAGGTACTGAGATCATAAAAACTTCTAGAATAATAAGCAAAATTAATATCAACACAGGACTTTCAGTTAAGATAAGGCATTTATTTCAAGAAACGGGAAATCTCAGTTAATGTTTGAAGTGTTATATTTGGTATCAGTCAAGGATTTTCCCAATACTTTTAGTACTAACGCTATAATGTATCAATATGACCACGGAGGAAAATTCCTCATGGTCTTTTAGATGAATTTTGATACAAACAGGACAAAATTTAGGTATTACAAAGTCAAGAAAAATATGTACATATAAACCTTAATTGTTAAAAAGATTCAACATTTTAGCACAGCAACTAGAAATGACTTGAATTAGATCTAATAATACTTGATTACAAATGACAATAATAAATTAAGTTTAATATTTCTTCCAAAATAGCATTTAATATTTGTACTTTTCAGTAAAGAAGAAAAGCAATTCTGTACCTGTGCCTTTGTTTTCAGGATCTGGAGCAAACAGCTTTATAGTTATTTTGGGAAGCACCCACTGCATCCATAGACTAACACGTCCACTGGTTCCACCAATATTACTTGTAGTTTGTTCCAAGGTCACAGAATCTGAGAATGGTGAGTCCTCACCTGCTTGTATAGAATCTCCCTGGGGGGAGAGGAAAACAACAACAACAACAACAACTTATTTTGTAACATAAACAAAAATAACAAAAAATACAATTTATAAATTAAAATCAGTAATTATTATTTATAACTTTTCCACATCTTACATGCAAATGATAATCATATAAATGTTAATACCAATACATAAGGCTAATATATGGTTTTATATATTAGCCTTCTCAATGGTTTTTATTGTTACAAAGTACATGCATGTTTTCAGCTTTCTCTAAAAATAGGTAAAATCTAAAAAAGGTTAGTATTATACTAGCAAGTATGTTCCTATAGTGTAGTCTGCAAGCTATAGTGAAGGGGCTAATCTGTGTTGAGGAATAAAGTGTTACTAGATCACAGCCACATCCATTCATTTAATAACTATATCTGACTTCTTTTCAGCAGAGTTGAGTAGTTGCTGGAGAGAAGCTGTGATCTACAAAGCCTAAAGGTACAAATTAACTAGCCCTTTACAGAAAAAAATCTGTCTACCCCTTCTACAGACTATTTATAACTGAATCTAGAAAAACTATAGCAAAGTGATTGTCACAGTTTAAGAAACAGCAAAATATTAATCATGTCTTGCATGCTAATTGAGGAGATATTAAAAATTAGATTTGACAAAAGATTTTTAAAAAGTTTCATATGGTTAAAGGTTTCTTAGTGGAATAGAGCATACGCTTATCCGATTCAACAAATACACACTGAACTCTGAATAGTATTAGGTCCTAAATTCAGTGCTAATAAACTTGCTGTCAAAGGTTTGTTGGTCTGTTTTGGTCTTTTCAGCAGCTTTTAGTAGGCCAGAATAAAATAAACCCTTTCATTTAAAGTTCAACTGGAGCAGATAGCTTCAGTCTCAAATGCAGAAGAGATGCTGCAATCATTGATATGTTGAGTTCTTTTAGGATTAGCTATGAAGTATTGGGGTCTTAAAATTCCAAACTTTGCTGTCCATTTAAAATTGGGAAACAAAACTTGGGAGTTTAACCCATATACTCTGAAAACTGACCAAACACAATATAACATTCTCATTTGTTTAAAGATGTATATATATACATATATGTATTTACATGTCAGTTATACATACTTAGTTAGGCTTAATATGGCAGGCAGTATGGCATACTGGGTTAAGGTATTCAGATGCCAGTCATGTAATTTTAGGCAAGTAGTTTAACTTTTCTGAGTCTGTTTACTCCTCTGTAAAATTGTTATAATATTTATCTCTTACAGTTAAGATTAAATAACAATATTAATGTTAATGAAGTATATACACATAGAAAATATTTCATAAATTGTAGATATCATTATCAAGTTAAACCAATGCTTAAGAAATTGTTCAGTCACATTCTTATAGAATTTGGTCCCTCTACTGCCTTTCTCATTTCCTCATCTTGCTAACTTCAGCCACACTTTCTTTTGCTGTATATCTTCAACTTCCAATAGTTTATTGTTACTTTGAATATCTCAAACAAAAATGTTAATTTCCTGTGTTAAGGAGTCATAACCAGTAGTCAACTGCCAGAACAAAACACCCCTTAAAATTTAAACAAAGACAATATAATATGGTCAGTATGCCATTCTCTATAGACAGGTTGTCAGAGCAGAAGCCACTAATCTCTAAACACTTAAAAGCAGGAATGATAATTAAAATCCTGTACAAAACAAACCAAAGCCTCGGCTCACATTACCACAGACATGCCATCTAGACAAAGGTATATTCAGCTCCTACATGAAGCTTTTACTTTAACATCATTGTTTTACAATCCCTTTCAGTCAGAAGAAAATTCAATTTCCCTGCAACCTCAGAAGGAGCGCAAATGGGAAAGATTTTCATAGAATCACAGGCAAGTGTTTACTGCAAGAACACTTAGGCACCAAGCATAGCAAAGCAATAGTGTTTTGGGATTACTATGAGAGAAAATTATAGAGTTAATCCTGAAGATAGTATAGTTACTCTTTGTCCCAAATATACCAAGCAAAGCAAATAGCTCACTGTCTGTGGGGATTTCATATAAATGCTTTTACAAAATAAATAGTTCTAAATCTGCTACAATTGAAATTCCTACAACTTGAAGAGCTATAAAAAAAATCAGGTTTTTGGTTAGCTGTCTAATGTAAAACACACAGCATCTAATAAAAGGCACAAACTAATTCCAGATAAGAATGCTTATGAAATAAAAGACAATATAAGACAGGCTTTTTTTATGGATAGTTTTTTAGAGTAGAAGTATGCTTAAGTTAAATCTTCCCTCCAACAGACACAACATCATATTCTAAGAATGAAAAACTGCAGAGAAAATAGCATCTCAAATCAACAAGACTTCAATTTTTAACACTACTGAATACACTTGGTAAGAATGCTAAGAAAACTGTGGCTGCAAATTTAGTAAGCACTCCTCAGTAAAAGCTTTGCTCTACCTCCTCATGCAGTTTCAATTTTCATTTTGTATTTACAGCATTTGGTTTGGTATTGTTAAAGTTGTCTGTGCATTAATTTTCTGCTCTGTTTCCAAATCTATTGTGAAAATCAGGCCAGAAATGAAGATGCTGAACTATTTTCCCATACGTCCTTAGGCCAAGTTCTAAAGTAAACAGTTCAATTCTTTTACTATTTTGTTGCAAATTGACCAAAATACAAAGTTTATTTTCCTAGGCAAATTTATCTTTGTTCATTTGTAAGAGCAAACACTTTATGGCCCTTCATCCTTGGCCTGCTTCAGAGCTTAAGGATGATCATAGTTTTGGCCCCGTTGCTACTCTTATCAAAATAACTCCCACATTCTTGTTCAATAATAAAACTTCCCAAAGGGCGAAACACTTCGACCATGGTGTGTACTTAATTAACAGCAACAAGTGGCCTGCTGTGGTCTCCACTACCTTAACTCTATTTCAATGTAAGAGTGGGAAAAAAATGATTAACTGTTTTAAGCTCAATACTTAAGCGTCAAATTCATATTTCCCACTTTACCATGACTCAGATTGAAATACAGGAAGCTAGAGCTGTATGTGCACAAAAGTACAGTGCCCCGTATCAACATGTCAGCATGAAAAGACTTACTCATAAAGTATAAATCACTAAGGATCGTATAAACAAATACTTCTATTTAATATAAACAATTGTTAGAATGTGTTTTCTTTAACTAGATTCATTTACAGTAAGTTCTCTATATTCAATAGTTTTGACCCAACTAAGCAGGATAAACAATGTTTTAATAGTAAAATGTTTAAAAATTTGAATGAGTGTTTTCTAGTGCAAATTACAATGTAAAAAAATCAAACCTCCAATTTCAAAGTGGTCCCCAGATACATAATTGATATAAATAACACAAGAAATATAAGGTAACCTCAGATTATTAGGTTATATTTACATAATAAAACTATGTGAATTTTTAAAAATCAAGTAGCCAATAATTTAGAGACAATTTTTGATATTAATATTTTGAAATAGGAAAGGCTTTATACACAAAACATTTCATTGAATGGTATGTGATGGTCAAACAAGAACCTTCATTTTTCTAACCTATTTTGATATCTTTATTTTTTCCATAGCTATTCAAATGATAAGATGATAGTCCAAAGGTTATGATTTCTACATTTTGAATAAAAGTTTCTCTCTAAATGTTAAGGATAAAACCATTTAAAGAATAATATGAAATCTAATGAAGCAAGTATTTTCAGGAGAAGATTTAAAACAATTATGAGAAATTCTAAAAATAGCAATTGAGCAAATTCAAACTAAATACACTATCTAAATGGTAGTTTAAATAATAATAAGAGGTAGACTACTGTGTAGGTTAATTGCACTTGAATAACTGAAAAACTGACAAGAGTTTTGCTACTATAGCAAACTCTGTCAACAACTCTAAAGTTGATGCAAAACAACCTCTCAGTCCAGTATTCACTTTTCAATTAACTGAAAATTAATGTATGTTAAACAGTTACTGGGCATTAAATAAGGTACCATTTCATCCTTATTTTTTTTAATTAGGCTGATAATAAGGCAATTTTAATTCTTGGATTAATAAACAATGCTTGTCACACTTTGCCATGACCCTAAACTTCCAAACACCGAGTGGTTAATATCAATTTTTACTTTAGGTAGAGTTGTAAATAAATATTCTAGTAGTCACTCGGTGTTTTAGATTTTTCTAAAGCTTTGAAATTATTTCCTATACTACTGCTGTGATTAAGGAAGACATTACCAAAAACATTTTATATACACAGAAAAAGTTAAAAAACACACTAAATGATTTGCCTAAAATCACAACTTGGAGGAATTTAATTTTGTCAACACAATCTAATCCTTTAAAATCACATTTATTGAAACTACTGAAAACTCAGAGATCCAAAATATCATTTTCTATAGTTATAACAGTTTCCCAAAGACATACAGGTTATGAATGTATCCTGTAACAGAAGGATGTGAGTGTGTGTGTATGTGTGAATGTATGTATATATGTGTTTGCTTTGTTTACTTGTCATGAAGAGGAATCATCAAAATGTCAATGCTTTTAATTACAGTTTTTATTGTTGTTCTGTCCTGTAGGCAAAATAGCATAAAAATTTTAATGAGTATAATTACATAATGTTCCACTTTTTAGACCACTTACCTGAACAAAAATTTCTGACAACTTAAACTATCTGAAGTACAGTGTAGTATGTTCATAAAATAAAAAGTTTTATTTATCTTTAGAACAAATGTAAGAGTGAGTGTGGCAGAAACAGCTGGTTGTATCCCAAATTTTGCTCTCCTTTCTATAATACAAAATTGTCTCTGAGTAACAGTAATTCAACTACTGGCTAAATTTCCCAGCCCACCTTGGGATTATGTTTATACGCACATCCATGCCCCATCATTATTGTAAATTCCTCTAAGGATAAAGGAGCATGTCTTAAATACTTAGATTTTAAAGAAAGGGCTGAACATTAATAAGCTAAGAATAAAATTTAAGAAATTCGTAAAACAACAGAATAAAACCAGTAAAAAAG